ATGGAATACTATGCAACCCTAAGGAATAATGTAGAATCTGCAAAATACCACATAACATGGATGAACTTGGAGGACATTATGCTGATTGAAATAAGTCAATCACTGAAGGACAAATACTGTATTAGTCTGTTATTGTAAAAGCCAAGGAAAGGTTTATACGTGGAAGGAAATTTTCTTTGTTAGTTACCAGGGGTGGGAGGTAGGGTAGGGAACATTGTTAGATAGACAGAGATAAGTATTGTTTTGGGTGAAGAGAAGGGCAATGTACCAAATGTGAGTCATCAACATGGTGGCATTGAGGAAGAGGAAGACAGAGAGAGGTACGTGGGAGGTACAGACAACAAAGATGAACTCTTTTGCACATACAGTACTGTGTTGTCAGTGAAGGCTAACACGGGTATACAGGTGGATAGATGGGTGGATAGACTGAACTATTAGTTACGTCTATACAGCAGAAAGTGTACCCAACACCATGTATAGGGTTGGCAGACAATGGTTCTACAAGTGTATTTGTATATTCTGTAAGAATTCCCAGGTGTATAGTAGAGCTGACAAGGGACAAGGTTGTAGTCACTTCTTGGTCACAGCCAGCTACCCAGAGGGAGCAAGTAGTTGCACCTGTGGGCTCAGGACCATAGGCACAGAGGACGTTACGCTCAATTGGCATAACATACTACACAAAACATTGTTCCACTTCCTACTTTGGTGAGTAGTGACTGGGATCTTAAAAGCTTGCAAGCAGCCATCTAGATGCAACGATGGGTCTCTCCTCATCCAGAGCAAAGAAGAATGAAGAAAACCAAAGATTCATGGAAAGAATTAGTCCTAGTGACTGGTATACCATGCAATCTGCAGGCTACATGACTATGAGACCAGAAGAACTAGATGGTGCCCAGCTACCACTGTCAGCTACTCAGAGGGGGATCTATGTAGGAGATCCTGGATAGAGAGGGAGAACAATGTGGAACAAAACTCAAAATCATTTGGAGAAAAAAAAAAGGGGGGGGGGAGCAGGTTTGCTGGTCTGATAGAGCCTGGTGGAACCACTGAGACTATAGCCCCTAGCTGTTCTTCAGGTCTGGAATTGAGCCCACACCTGTGGCTTCCAGCCAAACAAAAGACAGGCATATGAGGTGAACATTTACATTAGGTAGATACACTCCTTGGAGAGAACAATCATGGGAGAATAGAAGGGCTGTGTATGCACAGGGAGACAGCTCAGGGGGGAGGAGTGCATGGAGGGATGGACACAGGGAAGAGGTAACTATTGGGAGAAAGTGGGAGGGGAGATGTTGCTTTGAGGTAAATTGTAGACAATGCCATGAGACAAAGTGTATGTGAACTGCTGTATGGAAAGTGAATTTGCTCTGTAAACTTTCACCCAAATCACAATAAAAATAAAAAATAAATAAAAGAACAGAGAGGCAGCCCACCACCAAGCAAGTACAACCTCAGAAAAAAAAAAATAAAAATAAAAATAACAAGTGTTTGCTAATCTAGAGAGTTACACACACACACCCCTTTTTTGGTAACTACCAATGGACATTTGTCTTTCTATATATAATTATTGTTGTCATTGTGTAAAAGTGAGAGCATACAGTATTTGTCCTTTCATGATTGACTTATTTCATGCAACAGCATGTCTTCCAGATTCAATTATTTTACAAGGTATTTTGGTAGCATAGTGCCTAAGGCATTTGACTGCTAACCAGAAGGCTGGTGGTTCAAACCCACCAGCCACTCCATGGAAGGAAGACTGGGCAATCTACTTCCATAGAGATACCGCCTTGGAAACCCAAGGAGGAATCTCTATGAGTCAGATTCAACTTGACAGTAGTGAGTTTGGTTTGGTTTGGTTTATAAGGTGTATTGAGGACTCATCATTCTTTATGGCTGAGTGGTATTCCACTGTATGTATGTATGTACCACATGTTGTTTATCTATTCATCCATTGATGGACACTTAGGTTGTTTTCATCTTTTTGCTATTATGAATATTGCTACAATGAACAAAAGTGAGCATACATATACGTTCTATTTTTGATTTTTTTGGGAACTGCCATACTGTTTTCCACTACAGCTGTATCATTTTGCATCGCCACCAGCAGCGGATAAGGGTTCCAAATTTTCATTCATGTTTTTTGTTAAATGGATAATGGTAGTTATTCAATTGTTATGATAGGTAGATTTTGTTGGATACACCGTAAAAAGTGGTTCAATGCTTTTATTTTAAAATCTTCTAGATTGTAAATATTTAAATATCATTTGCAACTATTTAAATTTATGATGAAAATCTCTAGATATTAACTTGAAAATATGAAGGGATACATAGTTTTCAAAAAATCTCTTTTCCTCTGGCCTCTTCCCTTTTCTTGACTTTTCAGTGTCCACTCAACCTGATACGGTTACTCCATAACCTCACAGAGGCCTCTGCCACTCAAACTTTGTGGCACAAAAAATTGAGACATTGATTTTAAAAGATTGCATGGCACTCCTTCAGCAAGTGCAGTAACGACTTCTCACCTAAATTGTCAGATAAGGCCCATTGTTACTAACTCCTATCTGCTCTGTTCATCACATGATAAATTAAAGCTGTTTTAAGGATGAGGTTAGTGTATCTTTCCCTGAAGTCAAAATCCTTAATTATAGCTCTGGATATACCTAGTCCTTCAGCCACCCTGAAACTACCTGTTCCCCAGGCTGCCCATCCTTTTTTTAAAAATATATACATCCATGATGATTCCACCAGCATGAATGCCTTTCATCTAATAATCTTTTTATAATCCTCCCTGGGCCAACTTAATATCACTTTCTGTGCAAAGTCTTTCCTGACCCTGCCCTGAATTTACACACTTGTTTTTGCACATAGTATAGTGGACAGTGAAGTTTCATCTTCACAGGAGTTACATTGTGACATTGGTACAATGGACCACCAAATCCCTTAGGAAGGTGCCACTTTGGAGACTGCTATGTTGTCTCCTGATGGCCAGCATAGCCATTTTTTTTTTTTTTGCCAGCCTGGCAAGAGTTCACTGTTTATTTGCACACCAAATGAAATTATTTCATTTACATGCCAGATAGTTACCAAAAGTGTTTCGATTTGTAACCACACTTACTTTGGCAAAAATTCTTACTTACACTGTAAATCTTAATGGAGACAGACCCACTGAGGGAGCCACCTATAGGCTCATCCCTCCTCGCCTTCTTCCCTCCCTGCAAAGCTGTGATCCACATAAATTCAAGATGATGCAACCTCACTGCATTGTGATTCTCTGTTTGAAGCGACCTGAGAAGTTTCAGAGCTACTGAGTGCTAACCTGAGTGCTCCTGAAGGGCACAGATTCCCAGGGATGATCACACTGCTTAGCTCAGAGTAGATGTCAGTCAGAGAGAAAATTAACAGCCTTCTTTATGTCAGTCTGCCTTACATCCACCCCCACACTTACCCACCTCTGAGCAATTAATGCAGGAGACTCCTGAACCACATCTTCACTTGTAGGCCAAGGATCTGCCTATACAGGACCATGCACAGCATCTTCCTCAAACAGCACTTTTCTGCTGTTTTTATTATGTCCAATCCAACCTCTTCAGCATGGACCTCAAGGCCATATCCTGAATGCAATTCCTTCCTTTCCTCCTACTGCGGTCAGTGAATTACTTGGTATGGCTCGTCTAGCCGTGGTCTTTTTGACTCCCACCAGATGACTGGGTGGAGCTGTGGAAATATGAGGTTTTTATGGCCTACTAAGAGGATTGGATAGTGTGCTAATTATGTAAATAAGGTACATGGTCCTCCTGTGGAGGTGGGACTATGCAAATAAGATATAAGGATTAGTCAACTTTTCCATCTCAGTAGGCTTAACATAGGCACTCTGGTAGCGTAGTGCCTAAGGCACTTGACTGCTAACCAGAAGGCTGGCGGTTCAAACCCACCAGCCACTCCTCAGAAGGAAGATGGGGCAATCTACTTCCTTAGTGGTACTGCCTCGGAAACCCAAGGAGGGGTTGCTATGAGTCGGGGCCGACTCGACGGCACATAACAACAACAACAACAGGCTTAACATAAGTCATCCCAGAGGCAGAAAAGGGACATCTCACTGTCATCAAGACAGAAGAGCCAGGAATGGAACATGTCCTTGAACCTGAGATCCCGGCACTGAGATGGCAGAAAGATGGTGGAAGCAGTGGCAGCAGAACCGAGAGACCTGTGTGAGTTAGAGCAGCACGCTTGCAGGCTCATGGAGCGAAAGAGTTGAGTGCCTTTGGGCAGGAGGCTTGCTGGTGAAATGGGGTGTACCTATTGGCAGAGCTAAAAGAGCTTTGTAACACTGCCTGAGCAGGGTAGACCCCAGAGGCCAAGGGCCAAAGAGAGGTGTGTCTACGGGCATGGGAGAGGGGAGGCTGTCCTCATCAAAGAATTATATCCTGAGTGTTCCTGAACCTGAACTGTAACTTTTACTTTTCTAATCAACCCCATAATTGTCAGTACTATCTGTGAGTTCTGTGTGGCCATTGCAATGAATTATTGAGCCCTGCAGAGATGTAGAGGGTGCTGTGGAAGGGACGGTGTCAGAATTGGTAAAAAAAAAAAAAAAAAAGAAGGGTTGAAGGATGGCAGGATGTCTGACTTCATGGGAATCAGCTTTTGGCTAATGCTGCTGGTGGCACTTCTGTCTTCCCTTTGCGAAGTTAGAGGAAGTCAAAGGATGCTGTCCCCATGCCCTTTTTGGACTCACCAACTTTAATTCCAGTTTGGCTATCCTTTCCTATATGGCTACCTCTAGTCTCCAGCCTCCTAACTGGGCACCACAATCCCAGAGACATTTTTAACCACCACTAGATTCCCTATTCCAGCCCTCCACACATGAGTAGAAGCCAAACCCACCACACAGAAAGCCAGTCCTTGCAGGGTAATTTCAATATAGATAGTTCTCTGTCTTTATTGATACATCAACGTGCACATGAGGGAAGTAGTGCTTTTGTGGAAAAGAGTGGAGTCCATCACACTTCGGATGTGGAAGTAAACCCTGATGTGGCCAAGGGGCTCTGGCAGTCGGAGCAGCTGCAGTAGGGCTCAGAGGAACAATCTCTCTTCATAGTAGGCTTTTGAGAAATGATCATCCCTTCCAGGTCCTTCACTTTGTTTTCCACCATCTGGAGTTTTTTCAAAATTTTCTCTTGCAGACCCAAGGACAGGAAGATGTTTTTATTGTCTGGAGCTGAGAAGATGTTCGCTTCTGGGTTGGCCATCAAAGCCTGAAAAAAATCTGAGCCCTTCTTGTAAAGTTTGTAGAGGGTGATTATAAACAACAGTATTCTCTAAAATGAAACAACAAAAGTTGAATGTTATTTATTTATGTGACATGCCAGTTTACCACAGATGCAAAACAAATCACCCAATAATCCCTCACTCCTATACCAATCTTTCCATTTCATAAAACATCTTCTCACTAATTTCCTCTTTTCATCCTCACCTCAAACTGGAGAAGTAGGTACATCAGAGATTATTATCAGCATTTAATTATTAAATATTATAATAATAAATACCTTTTGCTGAAAGTTTGCCATGTGTTGGGCTCTGTACTAGGAATTACCTTGCTTGTGCTGGACCTATTTGTGCAGAAAAACAGAACTAGCTAACCGTTTAGACATCTTCTAATTCAGACTCTGTCATTACCCAAGGTCATATATTTGGAATTGTTATAGCCAGAATCAGAATCCAGGAATTTTGACTTTTAAGTATGTCTCAAGACACAGTGGTTTGAGAAATTGGATTTCCTGATCATGAAAAAATATATATATTTTTAAATGTGTTAGGATAGATTCCTGACAGGATGAGGATGAAACCAATGATCTTTTTCCATATCATAATAGTTTCTAGCACCATTTATAGAGTGTTTATTTTGTCATAAGCACTATACATACACCATCTCCTTTAGTCCTCAAAACAATCGTATGAGGGAGCTACTGTTAGCAAGCCCATCCTACAGATGAAGACACTGGGGCTTAGAGGGTAAGGATTACTTTTAGGTCACAAAGCAATCCAAGCAGTCAGACTCGAAAGTCCATGCTATTAACCACTCCTTTGTCTACCTCCTTTTCTTGGCTAAAGTCTCTGGAGGGCTGCAAGTTCATCTTTCTGACAGAGCTAAACATTTACAAACCAGCACATAACCCATAATTACAAATAAGAGGTTTTTTTGTTGCACCACACACACACACACACACACACACATTCCTACTGAGTATTTAGGTCAGTCATATTTTAGTCAAATGAGATTTTGGAGAAGCACTGAATTTGGAATCCTAAAACCTGGGATCAAATGCCAGCTTTGCTAGCTCTTAAAAACTATGGGAACTTGGGCAAGTGATAATCAAGTTCCCTCACCTATACATGATGATAACCTCTCTCTGCATTTACCAGGGCCTGTTTAAATCCTAGGAGCTTTGGTAGTGTAGTGCCTAAAGGCACTTGACTGCTAACCAGAAGGCTGGCGGTTCAAACCCACCAGCCACTCCTGGGAAGGAAGATGGGGCAATCTACTTCTGTAGTGATACTGCCTCCGAAACCCAAGGAGAGGTCGCTATGAGTCGGGTCCGACTCGATGGCACATAACAACAACAACATTTAAATCCTACGTCCTCCTGAAATGTCCACTGAACTGAGTATCCTCCTTTGCCATGTGAAGAGAACCTCTATTTCATGGAATTGCTGGGATTCTCAAAGCACTCTGACTATACCACTATCACTACTCCTAATTACAAAGAAGTATGTAAAACTGTGAATGTTTCTCACAGTCCCAGCCAATTATACCCTTTTCCCAAAAGGATCCCTTGTATATTTATGAAGCCTTATCTTTTGTCTTTAACACAAGAACATGATGAAAACATGGTGATGATTGAATAACTACACATGCCTCCACATGGTTACAGATCAGACAGAAAGGCCCAACTTAAGATCCCAGTTATACTGCTGTGCCTGTTCTGTAAAGGGTACCCTACCTATATAGTGTAGCTATGGACATGCACAGAGTAGGCATTCAAAGGTGAATAAGTGATCAAATAAATTTGGAACTAAGGCTGCCTTCTCAGCTTGTAAACTTGTTTATTTTATAATAAACCAAAGATCATTCATTGTAAGAAAGGACATTATGCTCAAAATCTATTGCGGTTAACCTAGTTTCAACCAATTTCAGAGACAAGGGCTCACCCTTGCTCACCTACATGGTCTTGAAACTAGATGTCAGGTATATGGGAGCAAACTAATCACATTTCAATGTATAACTATTTAAATTTCTCTGTAACAAAAGAGTATAACCTGAATTGACTGAAAACTTCTTTTCGATAAGGCATATAATCCTACTGTCAAGAGAATCAAAAAGGAAATCCTCAGGACGACTTGAACAGCTGGAGCAATATTATGTAGTATCCCCAAATTTGTTTGCTGAGGCACACTAGACTCTCCCAGAACTGTTGCTTGTAGCCAATTCCATATTGTGCTCAGAGAGAGAGACTCTATAAGATCTTCCCAGGAAGAAGATAACCGTAGAAATGTTGACATTTTAATAAGACAGCAGCTCAGGAACTACATGTGCAGAGGCTTCAGGAATCTAGATATGAGTTAGGCAGAGTAGCCTGGAATCCCATGTGTTCTGTAGCCCTTGTGAGCTGCGCTTTGTGATGTCACTGTTTCAAAGGTGAGCTTGCTCCACAGTCACCCAGTGAGCCTTCTCACTCAAAACCAACAGGCTCTGGCCTGGGTTTTCAATTCAGCCATGTTGCTTTCTCTGATCTTTGGCAAGTCTTAGCTCCAGCACAGCACTGTCCAGTAGAACTTTCTGCAATGACAGAAATGTTCTATATCTCTTCTGTTCAAAATGGTAGCCACTAGCCACTTAAAATGTGGACAGTGTTACCGAGGAACTGAATTCTAAATTTTCTGTAATATTAAATAATCATATGTGGCTAGTGCCTATTATTTTGGACATTATAGATACAGAATATTTCTAGCAGTCCATGAAATGGATCAAGGTTATTTTTACTTGACAAATGAGGAAACTGAGGTGCACTGAGGTTCACTGGAAATTAAAGGAAGAGATAAAATTTAATAAGGGCTTTCTTAGAGTGAGTTCATTTGGTAAATGTGGAGGGAGGTTATTATGGAATTATTTTGTAGCATCCACTTAATTTCATGTGACACTATTGATTGGAACTTCTGATCTCTGGGAAGGCCTTTAACATATCTGAGCCCCATCTTGCTCATCTGTAAAATGAAGATTCCACATCTTTCCCAGGGTTTGTACTAGGAACAAACAGTACACTTTTCTAAGTACTTTTTATCAATAGTAGCATGCTACATCGTAATCTATATGACATTATCAAATCGATTATTTACTAATACTAGTCATTTACCTATCATCTAAATATCTATGAGTTGGAACCAACTCAGTGGCAGTGGGTTTAGTTTTATGGTTTGTAACTGATTAGTACCAATTAGTACCAATCAATTATTTACTGATTATTACCTATCATAAAGGAGTTCTGGTAGTGTAGTGCCTAAGGCACTTGACTGCTAACCAGAAGGCTGGCGGTTCAAACCCACCAGCCACTCCTCGGAAAGAAGGTTGGGCAATCTACTTCTATAGTGATACCACCTCAGAAACCCAAGGAGGGGTCGCTATGAGTCAGGTTTGATTCGATGGCACATAACACCACCACCACCTATCACAAGGAGCTGTAGTGGTGCAGCGATTAAGACATTTGCCTGCTAATAAAAGATTGATGGTTTGAACCTACCAGCTGCTCTGCAGAACATAAGGCAGGGTGCTTCTATAAAGATTTATAGTCTTGGAAACCCAATGGGAGTTTCTATGAGTCTGAATCGACTCAGAGGCAGTGAGTTTGGTTTCTGAGTACCTATCATGAGGATATAAAAACAAAATGCTTCCAAAAACTTATGTGAAAAAAGGTAGTTCACACACCAAGTGTATAATCTAAATCATGAGGTCAGATTATGAATGCTGCAAGGATCCAAAAGAGGGTTTGCACCAAGAGAAAGAGAGGGTCACAGTAAGGAAGAAAAAGGGTTAGCTATTTAAAAAATATTGTTTCATGTCCCCTGAGATCACTTTCTAGCAAAATAACAGATTGGCATACAAAATAAAGGATATTATCCAAGAATATGGTGTTCCATTAAAAAACTACCTATGAGACCAAAAATTAAACATTTACTGTAAAGCCAAGATAAGAAGGGGAGAGGGAAACTGTTGTTGTTAGGTACTCCTTGAGTCGTCTCTGACTCATAGCAAACCTATGTACAACAGAAGGAAACATTGCCTGGTCCTGTGCCAGCCTCACAATCCCTGACATACCTGAGCCCATCATTACAGCCACTGTGTCAATCACCTCATTGAGGGCCTTTCCCTTTTTCGTTAATCCTCCACTTTATCAAGCATGATAGCCTTCTCCAGGGACTGGTTACTTCTGACAATATGACCAAAGGAGGTGAGACGAAGTCTGGTCATTCTCGCTTCCAAGGAGCATTCTGGCATTCCAGCTGCACTTCTTCCAGAACAGATTTATTAGTTCTTTTGGCAGGCCATGGTATTTTCAGCATTCTTTGCCAACACCACAACTCAAAAGCATCAACTCTTCTTCAGTCTTCCTTATTCATTGTTCAGCTCTCACATACATATGAGGCGACTGAAAAATACCATGGCTTGGGCTAGGTGCATCTCAGTCTTCAAGGAGACAACTTTGCTCTTCAGTATTTTAAAGAGTCTTTTGCAGCAGATTTGCCCAGTGCTATATGTCATCTGAGGAGCTCTGGTGGCATAGTGCCTAAGCCACTTGACTGCTAACCAGAAGGCTGGCGGTTCAAACCCACCGGCTACTCCTCAGAAGGAAGATGGGGCAATCTACTTCCGTAGTGATACTGCCTTGGAAACCCAAGGAGGGGTCGCTATGAGTCGAAATCTACTCAATGGCATATTACAACATACGTCATCTGATGTCTCGACTGCTGCTTCCATGAGTGTTGATTGTGAATCCAATATGAAATCTTTGACAACTTCAATCTTTTCTCCATTTATTGTGATGCTGCTTATTGGTCCAAATGTGAGGATTTTTGTTTTATGTTGAGATGTAATCCATACTGCACACTGTAGTCTTTTGTGTGTGTGTGTGTGTGTGTGATATGGGTGAAAGTTTACAGAGCAAATTCATTTTCCATACAGCAGTTCACATACACTATCTCATGACATTGACTGCAATTTCCCACAATGCAACAGCTCTCTTCCCACTTCCTTCCCATAGTTACCTCTTCCCTGTGTCCTTTCCTCCCATGCACTCCTGCCCACCCCCAGCTATCTCCTCGTGCATTAACAGTCCTTCTTTCTCCTATGATTGATCTCTCCAGGGAGTGTATCTACGTAATGTAAATGTTCAGCTTATATGCTTGTCTTTCCTTTGGCTGGAAGCCACAGGAATGGGTTCAATTACAGACCTGAAGGGCAGCTAGGGCCATAGTCCTAGGGGTTTCATCAGGCTCTATCAGAGCAGCAAACCTGGTCCCCCCTTTTTTTTCATGATTTTGAGTTTTGTTCCACATTGCTCTCCCTCTCTATCCAGGATCTCCTACACAGACCCCTTCCGAGTGGCTGACAGTGGTAGACGAGCACCATGTAGTTCTTCTGGTCTCATAGTCATATATATAGGCTGTGGATCACATGGTGTACCAATCCCTTGGACTAATTGTTTTCATATGTCTTTAGTTTTCTTCATTTTTCTTTGCTCTGGATGAAGAGAGACCTATTGTTGCATTTAGATGGCTGCTTGCAAGCTTTTAAGATCCCAGTCACTACTTGCCAAAGTAGGATGCAGAACAATGTTTTTGTGTAGTATGTTATGCCAATTGAGCTTGATGTCCCCTGCAACCATGGTCCTGAGCCCACAGGTCCAACTGCTTGCTCCCTCTGGGTAGCTGGCTGTGGCCAAGAAGTGACGACAACCTTGTCCCTTGACAGCTCTACTATATACCTGGACATTCTTACACAACATACAAATACACTTGTAGAAACACTGTCTGTCAACCTTATACTTGGTCATGGGCACACCCCCCCCGCATGGACATAACAGATCGTTCAGCTTGTCCACACATCTATCCACCCATAGATCAATGTTTGCCATCACTGACAATGCAGTACTACTGTATGTGCAAAAGGATTCATCTTTGTTGTCTGTACCTCCCATGCACCTCACTGTCTTCCTCTTCCTCAGTGTCACCATGTTGATCACTCACATTTGGTATATTGCCCTTCCCTTCACCCAAATCAATGCTTGCTTCTACCTATCCAGCAATGTTCCTTCCCCTCACTTCCCACCCCTGGTAACCCACAAAGGAAGTTTCCTTCCACATATAAACCTATCCTTGACTTTTTACAATAATGAACAGAAACAATATTTGTCCCTCTGTGATTGACTTATTTCACTCAGAATAACGTCCTCCAAGCTCATCCACGTTATGCAGTGTTTTGTAGATTCTACATTATTCTTTAGTGTTGCATAGTATTACACTGTGTGGATGTACCCTAGTTTGCTTATCCATTCTTCTCTCGATGGGCACCTAGGTTGTTTCCATTTTTTGCTATTGTAAATAGTTCTGTGATAAACATGTGTGTGCATACATCTGTTCTTGTCCTGGCTCTCCCTTCTTTAGGATATATACCTAGTAATGGAAT